GGAAGCCCCTCTGAGTCGAGTCTTTGTGGACCAGAGAGAGAGGGGGAAGCCCCTCTGAGTCGAGTCTTTGTGGACCAGAGAGAGAGGGGGAAGACCCTCTGAGTTGAGTCTTTGTGGACCAGAGAGAGGTGAAAGACCCTCTGAGTTGAGTCTTTGTGGACCAGAGAGAGGGGGAAGCCCCTCTGAGTCGAGTCTTTTTGGACCAGAGAGAGGTGAAAGACCCTCTGAGTTGAGTCTTTGTGGGCCAGAGAGAAAGGGGGAAGCCCCTCTGAGTCGAGTCTTTGTGGACCAGAGAGAGGTGAAAGACCCTCTGAGTCGAGTCTTTGTGGACCAGAGAGGGGGGAAGCCCCTCTGAGTCGAGTCTTTGCCTCAGGTCAAGGGGTTCAGTATCTGGAGGTCTTGTTGAGTCCTGGAGGATGAGGAGGGAGCACAAAGCAGTGTTTACCACAGATCGTGGGCGTTGGTTCATGTCTGTTACAGAAAGCTGAGCCAAAGCTCTGGATGTTCTGGTCCGTCTACGTTCCTACCCTCTCCTTTGGTATGAGGTTTGGATCAGGACTGAAAGAACCAGATTCTTCATTGGGTGGCCCAGCTCAGCCTTGCAAACAGAGGAATCAGCTGATGTGGTCCAGGACCCGCCTGGGCACGTGCCACTGGGGGACCCCCTGAGGCAGACTGGGTTGAGGGAGTTCTGGTTACCTGGGCGACCCCACCACAGATAAGAGGAAGCAGATGGATGGAGAGGAAACTCATGCTTTATGTGTCTGAGTAACAGGAAGTCTTAGGGTTTGTTTGGTGCTCACCATGGCTACGATAAGTCACCTCTGCAGTGACTCAGTTCTGAACAGAGCCTACTCTGTCTGGGTTTTACAGAACTCCCTCCAACACGTGTCGTTTTAAATATCTTCTAACAAAACTATTAACAGATCTAATGTTTTCCAACCTCACTTCCTCCTCCTTCCATTAAACACATCGAGTGATTTGATCAGAAACTTTAATAAACAGGAATCACTGATCGTCTCAGAAACCAAACAAAGCCTTTGTAGAGTGTCATAAACCAGAGCGTGCCATCTTCTGCCTGCCTGTGGTTCACTCCCCCATCCTGTCAGCGAAGCAACAAAAACACCAACTTCCTGCAGACGACCAGCGCACAGTCAAACATCTACAGGTTCTTTACTTCAGCTTTACTAACCTAAAGCTTCACAACCACTGTTAGAGTCAACACTGTTTGTCTGTTAGCAAAATATCTGATCAACCACTGTTAGAGTCAACACTGTCTGTCTGTTAGCAAAATATCTGATCAACCACTGTTAGAGTCAACACTGTCTGTCTGTTAGCAAAATATCTGATCAACCACTGTTAGAGTCAACACTGTCTGTCTGTTAGCAAAATATCTGATCAACCACTGTTAGAG